ATGTCTTGCTGTACAAGTAGTATGTGATGCCGAATGTCACATGATCACAACTGAGCCAATGGAATTCGCTTTGATATACAAGGGCTTTGTATTACAGGTATGTTTCCGGAACGAATTACGCTCGCAAACCAAGGTTTTACTGTATATGTTTTTGTACGCTCAAAACAATTATTTCCTTAGAATAAATTCATAACAATAGAATTTTTGTGTGAAAAGATGTATACCTTTTAGGTCTTAATATAGATATATATGTATATATTTCTAAAATTTTTTTCATGTTTATTTTTAAGAGAGAGAGAGAGACACAGAGCATGAGCAGGGGAGGGGAAGAGAGAGAGGGAGACATAGAATCTGGAGCAAGCCCCAGGCCCTAAACTGTCAGCACAGAGCCCGATGTGGGGGGCTCGAACTCATGAACCGAAAGATCATGACCTAAGCTGAAGTCAGATACTTAACCGACTGAGCCACCCAAGCACCCCTATGTGTATATATTTTTTAAATATGAGGTAGGTAAACTACAAATATGAATGTTTTCCTTTAAAAATACTGAACGGCTAAAAGTGGTACAATGATAAGTAGTAGTTTTCACTACTACACACATTTTATCACCAAATTTATTTGGGTCTAGGTGTTTCATCTGTAAAATAAAAGGTTTAGACTAGAATTCTTTAGGCTTCTCTTCTGAACTCCAATATTTCAGATTTCTGTGTACTCCCGTAGTTCCTAGAGGGCTGGAAAACATATAAACACATCTACTCTGTGAGAGTTATGTCACAAGGACCTGTATAAATGGAATCGTATTAACTGGGTTAATAAAATCACATCAGACTCTATCATTGCTTTAGAATGGTCCTCCTGAGGACTCTTTAGCTCTCCCTGGTCTCTTCATGACACATGGTGCCACTGGTGACTCTTCTTGAATGTCTTCCTGTGAGACCACAAACTCCCTGCTTCCAAATTCTCTGGTTCTTTCACCTCCATCCTTCTTTGATGGTTTGCCACTTGTCCCTGACAAGTCCCCACAATTTAAAGTTTCTCTGACATTTTTCAGCCCTCCCCATGGCTTAGTTAAGTATCTTTAAACAACAAAAATAAGTTGAATGAAACAACCGGTTAAGAAATCTTGCAGCACATTCTTTCATAAGGCCAGCAAGAATTGGTTTCGATCACACCTTAGTTTCTTTCCTTTCTAGGCAAGTCTAGATATCCCTGTATCAGTGATTCTCAAAGTAAGGTCCCCTGGACCCAGAGTGTCTGCATCGCCTGGGGAACTTGTAACAGTGGAAAATCTTTGGGCGTCATCTCAGACATAACAAATAAGCAGTTTGTGTGTTAGCAAGGCCTCTAGGTAATTCTAATGAATAATAAAGAATTGCAGGTCTATAACATGCGTCCTTTTAAAGCCAGGCCTTAACTCAATGATTAACACTACATATGGGCAATCAGAAATAATCAGTTCTCCCTCCAAATATCTGTTGTGATGTTGAATTATATCTATGGATCCTTTACTCCTAGGGACCTCAGGATAAAGGAAAGGAAACAAATACAGAATGGAAACAACAGTCCTCCTGAACTGCCTTTCACAGAAAATGACAATGCAGTCTGGCTACCACTAAAGTTACCTTACACATTTTGTTACCGCAGGTGATGTCCCACTGCTTGATGGAGAAGCACTCCCTGTTGCTGTGGCCTTGGACAACCTTACTTGTCAGATTTACTGACTCTCACGGATGCAGCCAGTTTTTCAATCTCCTAGGGTCCTAATAGGCAGGATAACAGCCATCAAGGAGATGGGAGCTGGTAGATGAAAGGGATGGGAGGCCATCTGCTCCATCGGTTCTGCTGGAGATAGGCCTGTCACCTGCTTCATTCATTCATTCATTCATTTGTTTATTCATTCCTCCAGACATCCACTCACCCAAGTCTCTTCCATCTTTCTTCCCAAACATCCTTCTACCCCCCTATCTACCCATCCATCCTCCCATTCATCCATTTATCCCTCCAACTATTCATCCATTAATCCATTCATTCCAGAACTATTTGTTGTGTGGAATATGTGCCAGTTTGGTTTCTCTTCAATATCAAATGAGGTTGAGCCTCACTAGGAACCAGTGACATTTGGCATTTTCTTTTACTTCTCCAGTGTTTCCCATGATAGTCCATAGGGGTGTAGGAAAAAAATCTCAGAACTCCTGTTTCTATTTATTTTTTAATCCCTTAAAAATTTCTACTTTGAGTATATGTGCTATAACGAACATAGTGTATTAACACTACGCTATGTATTCAGTTTAAAATTGCATGCTCAAAAGTATTGCAGTCAAAAAGTACAAAATCCAAAGATTTTGGAGGCCACTTCCATCAAGAATAGAGTCAGAAGGCTACAGAGCAATTTGAGACAGACCAGTACCAGCACTTGAAGTGAAATGCACAGAGGGGTCCCAGTAACAGGAAGCTGGGCAACTAGAAAACATGCCTGCGACTGAGAACAGATGAACCCACCTTTGTTCAATTATATTGACCATGATCTCCCAGGCTGCAGAACAAGGACCAAGGCAAGTCCTGCCCTGGTCTAGCTCTTGTTCCACTGTCAGCCCTTCCCCAGAGGGACATTTGGACTGCAGCCTGGGCTGCAGGCCAAGTCAGATACAGATACAGATGCAGATATTTAAGTAATCTCACTCCCTGAAAGCATGTCCTGAAACCCACTGCACACTGGTAAGAGTAAAAACATACAAACATATGTCTTATGTAAAGACATAAAAATATACATTGTTCTTATTTAATAATAATATGAATATCTCGCATTGATAACACATTGATAGAAATTTTTATCTCATTCACTTTGTTTCTTCCATCTTAAAAAAAGGAAAAAGATCAGGCAGATTGATGTTTTTGCTAATACAGACAATTTTTTTTTTTTTGGGCATTGTGTCAATTCATTTAAATGATTTCCTAATTTGCCCATAATAAAGCTAAGTGAAACTGTACTGTTCTTGGACACGATACTCTCAAGCTCCAAAGCCAAATGCTATTCTATTCTTTTACAGACACCGAAAGATCTGTCTTTGCAGACACCTTCTAAAGTGTCAGTATCTTCAAAACACTGACAGAAGCGTTGTTTTGTTTTTGTCTCTAAAGAATGGATTAATATTTAGGGACCTACGTTTCAGGGAACTATAAGCCATGGGTAGACCAAAAATGTGAGGCAAAGAAATAAATATTCTAGCCTCATGTTTTGACAGAAAATGCTTATCTGTAGCAGCAAATTCAGTTGAGAAGCCAACTTTTAATAGGCACAGAGACTTTTTGTTCATTGGATGAAACTTTTTTTAAAAAAATGCTTATTTTGAGAGAGAGCACACGTGTAAGCGAATGGGGGAGGAAAGAGAGAGAGGGCGACAGAGAATCCCAGGCAGGTTCCGTGCCGTCAGTGCAGAGCCCGACCCGGGGCTTGACCCCATGAACCGTGAGATCATGACCAAAGCTGAAATCAAGAGCTATCAAGAGCGGGTCGCTCAACCGACCGAGCCATCCAGCACTCCATCAAGTGAATCTTAAATAACTTTTAATGATTTAACAAAGTCATGAATGGACTCAGAGCAGCTGTCTTGTATTTTTATTGAGCAGCCATAAACTTTTCCTATTAAAACAAATCCAACAGCTTATGCAGCTCATGATCCAAGACCTTCCCACACACGCATTCACAACTCTGTGGCAAACTTTGAGAATAAAACATAGGCAAATAGTGAAATAATCCTTAAATAATCTTCACTCCAAATAAAATAGGTCTGCAAATGTTTCCTAACAAAATCTAGTACAACCGTCCCGTTTGTGCTGAGATCCTCCGTGTGCTCATAATTCCACTTATCAACTGACTTTGAAGGAAAGAAAAATAAGAAAATGAGCCCTATTTTAAAGCTGACGCTTCTTGACTCTCTTCCAAACCTCCTAAAAAGTATTTTCTACTTTAAACCTAAAACACTTCTAAGTCACTGCACTGGCTTTTCAATAAATTCCTTCTGTTGCTCATTTTCTGACATTGTATACATCTGTCATGACTAAGTTATTCCCAGGGTTCTCTTGTGCTTATTACTGTAAATATTACTATAATTACTAATAATAAATTTACCATGCCTTGGGGGTTTGGAAACCTTAGAGTGTTATACCTTTATTCTACCCATTTTAAACGAACAGTAGAGGGTGATGAGTATGTCTGTTAGGATGACTCATACTAACATAAATCGTTGACAAAATTATGTAAATATTTACCTTCCCACCTCCTCTAAGTGGGAAAAATACTGCCTGGCTCTCTCGGTCTGAGGTGGCCTTCTTTAAAACCATTTACAGGAGTTTGCCCTCTGCCCCAGAATCTCCCTTCAGATGCGGTCATCTGGGAATGACATGTAGCAGCCTTTGAAACCTGCCTCACTATGGGGGCTGCTACCCAATCTCTTACAAGCTTCAACTATCCCCCTTCCTTCAGGGCTGGTTTGTGTTTACTTTTCCCAAAGTTAAAAAAAAAAAAAAGAAAAGCACAATTAAATTCTATTGGTGCTACTACAAGGAAGACCTAAATACCATATTCCCCCACCCGCCCCCACCTTCTCTCGCTCCAAACTCTCCCTCCATCCTGTATCCCAGCATCAATGCACATCCGAGTCACAGGCACTGTGGCCTTCAGCTTTAGCTTCCTCTGGGGCTGATCTGCGTCCACGTTAATATGATCTAAATTGTGTTTTCCGTTCTTCAGTATTACTATAAACACATAGTTAACAAATCTGTATGTATTCATATATTTCACAAAGATCTAAAAGTGTTCAGTCATATGCATTTTATGGATTGTTAGTAGCCTACTTTATTATTTTTTTTTTCTGGACCCCCACACTTGGCCTCCCGATATCACATGTCCATATGCTATAATCTAGACAGTTCCTAAAATGTTGGCTGTGTGTTGAATGACCATTAAGATAAGAGTCTTCTCTCAGAAACCCCACCCAGGCTCAGCGAGGATTTAACCATTTCATTACAGGCGAGCGGGTATTCTTTTTTACAAGTTCTTCTGTCACAGTATTGCCGTCTCCGGATGCCATGTCATGCTCTGAAATGAGAAGGAATACAAATCATGCAAGTCCAAATGTTGATAACCCTAAGATCAAGAACAGTTTTATATTATTTTCTTTAAATTTTTTTAACATTTATTCATTTTTTGAGAGACACAGAGAGAGCACAAGCAGGGGAGGGGCAGAGAAAGGGGGAGACACAGAATCTGAAGCAGGCTCCAGGCTCTGAGCTGTCAGCACAGAGCCCAATGTGGGGCTTGAACTCGTGAAACGCGAGATCATGACCTGAGCCAAAGTCGGATGCTTAACCGACTGAGCCACCCAGACGCCCCTATATTATTTTCATATTACAAGGGATTTACAATATTTTTTTTATAGATTCAAAGAGTCTATACTCACTGTATTCACCCACTCTCTGTTAATCGGCACCTCCCATCTGAGTCAGCCCCTACCGCCGACTGATTTCTCCTCATACACCTGTTACCACCAGGCATTATCTTACACATGCATTTGCCTTTTTTATTTATGTGTTATTTCACTCCACCACTAGAATATCAGCTCCAAGAAGGCAGAGGCTTTGTTTTGTTCATTGCTACTACAGTGCCTGGAACATAGTAGGCACTTAATAAATACTTATGGAATGAGCAAATGCTATAAGAGTAGATCTTTAATAAGATTTTCCTATTATCTGGTATGGGAGAAGGGTTAGCTTATTTTGTGGCTCCACAAGGCAGAAGGCAGACCAAAGGGCAGAACTTTTATAAAGACGGTTTTTGCTCAAATAAAAATTTGTAATATTTAGAATTTTCCAAAATGAAATTTGTCTGCTTCTAAGAGTAGCAAAGTGTATTTGCCTCAACAGTGCACATCCTAAAATGGAGCCCTGTACGATTCATGCAGCCCGGCAGATGAATGTATGCAAAGTAATCAAATATTCCAGATCTTACTGTCCCTGTCCCCCTAAAAAAAAGCTACTTATAAATTCCCCATCTCAAAAAATTGGAAATCTCACTACAAAACAACAACAACAAGAAATGGAAATAGGAAACCCACTTGACAAGATCGTAGTAGCCATTAGATAGAAATCTAGAGAAGACGAGCTCATGCAATCAGGGCATAGAAGGGACCTCCAGAAGTCCCTGTGCTGACGAACGTTGGCACCATTTACAAAGGTTTTAAAAACAGATTCGCACAGAGGTGATGTGAAGTTGATAGCCAGACAAGCCCCCTCCTATAAATGGTAGCACATGAACCCTGGAAAGTCACAAGGAGACAAGGTACCACTGAGCAGCGGAGCTCCTATGCTGCCTCTCCACAAAGCCTTTAGGATATTCTGCTCCCATCCTGAACCTAAGGTTTACCAAGATTAACCAGTAATCATTTTTGTTGCTCCTTAGCTAACAGGAAAAAAAAAAAAAAAAAAAAAAAAAAAAAAAAAAAACCCACACACCTCGGGTCAGACAATGCTTTTCCCATAGATTTCTACTAAGAATCTTGATACCTAATTTGGGTATAGAAATGTTTTTTGTGTGTAACCCCTAATGTAACTTCCACCCAGAAAAATATGTGTGGCCAAGGCATCTATCTAGTAGTCAAAACATCTGCAGAATCTGCAAGCAAATAAGCAAGGGTGACACGCCGAAGGGAAAGAGACTGTCCAACAGTCCAGTGGAGAAGAGGGCATGTGGCTGGGTATACAATGGGAGGGACGGACGTGAGGATTATTATCCTTCCTGAGGATTACTCCAAAGGTGTTCTCATGGCCTCCCAAGCATTCTTCCCAAACACCAATAAGATTCACAAGGGAGTCCATTCTCTCTCTCTTGGTGGAAAAGGTTTAGGCACAACCATAAATGAATGAAGAGGAATTCAGAAGTTCTTTACAGTGTTTTGTAGTCTGCAGTTTTGAGAAGGCGAAATAAAACAAAAAAAGATGCAAGCATTTGAGACAGCTGACTGTCCTGAGACAGTAAGTTTCAAACCTGTACTGGAGTAGTCAAATCATTCAAAAAATGTGCAGGTCTAAGATTGATGGTTTCCAGGGGCTGGGAGTTGAGGAATGGGGACAACTGCTTACCGGATAGTGGGGTTTTATTTTGAGCTAATGAGAATGTTCTAGACCTGGACAGAAGTGGCGGCCATGCAGCGTTGTTAAGGTACTAGCTACCACTGAACTGCTCACTTCAAAATGGTTAATTTTATGTTGTGTAAATTTCACCTTAATATCAATTTTTTTAGGACTTAAAACTCAATCTTTTTCCATTTTGCTTTTTAAGTACCATAGGACAAGTCCTAAGTATTTAACCTATTAATGACTTTCTCAATTTCCAGATCAAATAGTCACAAAGATGCTCACCTAATAGCTCTAAAAACAGGGGTTTCAGTTTAGATGAATGTTTAGGGGCATAACCACACTTCAGCATAATAATTCCCTTCTTAGCACAATATTTCCTCCTTCTCTTAATGTACTCTTAATGGATACTCTCTTAATGGATACTTAATTGTATCCATGTGTAAGAAGGAGGTAAAGTTAAGAAATAAGTACATTTGCCAAATATTTCAAATCTTAATTTGAAGCGCAAAGAACCAGAAACAAAAACGAAATAAAATGGACTTGGATTGTCAACTATTTATATCTAAGGGGGAGAAATTGCATAGTTTGTTGATACTAACAGTTTCTGTGACCACATGTTTTAAATGTGCTATTTTCAATTTAATGAAGTTTTACGATACTGATCGTTTATCCAACAAGGTAACCAAATATGTGCACAGCACCATCTTATACGTGGTATTTCTCACATTCCAACAACCTGATAAGAAATACACATGCATGAACAAGCATCATGTGGCTATTACTACAATTTCATTCAAAGGCTTAGAGATAATTCCCAAGTTTCAGTCACAGATACTGTCTCTTATCCTCTCCAAAATCTATAAAAACACATGCTGGGAAATATTCTTTGGAGATACTTCCATTTGGTTAAGAAAAGAAGAAGTGTCCTATATTTTCTATCTTGGCTGTTAAACCTTATCTAATAAATTCTTGAGGGTATTTTTTCTATGTGAAGTTGAGAGAGAAGTAACTTTGTCTACTATACATAAACATCACTGAAGAATTTAGGGAACTTTGTGTATCTTGGTTATTTTCTTATTACAGGTGCTTTGGTAATCAATCATATTTATTCTCCATATGGCTGGGTAAACTTTATGGAAAAATGTATAATCCTCAAAATTATTAATAAAATCTTTAAAAAAAAAAAAAACCAACAACAGCAACCGAACTCAATCACCACCCCTTTCCCCTGACTAAAATAAAAAACAAAATCATTCAAAGCAATGCTTTATTCTAATCCTCTATATTGCTTAAGTTATTCAAACTGAAAGTGAGATTATTGTTCTGATGTTTGTACTGAAATCGATTCTTTTTTTTATTTAAAAATAATTTTTTAATATTTGTTTATTTTTTGGTGGAGGGGGGGAGGGGCAGATACAGAGGAAGACACAGAATGTGAAGCAGTCTTCTGACTCTGAGCTATCAGCATAGAGCCAGACATGGGGCTAGAACTCACGAATCATGAGATCGTGACCTGAGCCAAAGTTGGACGCTTAACCAACGGCGCCACCCAGGTGCCCCTATACTGAAGTCAATTCTTACCTGTAGAAACAAGTCTCCTGTTGGAAGTCTTGGCTACTGAATATTGGAGGAAGGGAAATTTCAGACATTTGCCAGTCACTCTGTCACATATGCCAGACTGACAGTTGCATGTCTCCTTGCATTCCATCCCGAAGGTGCCGTAGGGACAGTCTGAGGACACAAGATAGGTTTAGAGAGGGAGCTCCTACTTGTGCACGAGCCCCTGCCCGCACAGCCTCCATATCTGAACACGCCTCGTGAACCTTGACTGTCAGATACAAACCACTTCTTTAAAAAAACCCAAGTTTGGGAAGTTGAAACTTTAAGTCACAAATGTGAAATCACACCCCAAGAGCAGGACACCTCGGCTCTAGTGTCCTGCTCTGGAGTTTAGTTGAAGACAGCTAGACATAACCAACATCCTTGAACCAACCTTAATTCTGGTCACTTTCTGCTTGGGTACCAACAGACAGGTTCCCGAGACTGCTTCCGTGACAGGTCGGTGAGGTGGGCAATTGAACAGACCTACGGATCAGCTGCGAAGGAGTTTAGGGGCGCCTGGGTGGCTCAGTCGGTTAAGTGTCCGACTTCAGCCCAGGTCACAATCCTGCGGTCAGTGAGTTCGAGCCCTGCGTCGGGCTCTGGGCTGATGGCTCAGAGCCTGGAACCTGCTTCCAATTCTGTGTCTCCCTCTCTCTCTGCCCCTCTCTCGTTCATGCTCTGTCTCTCTCTGTCTCAAAAATAAATAAACGTTAAAAAAAATTAAAAAAAATAAAAGATGTGATGCTGTCTTTGAATCCACCATACTCACAAACAACTCGCTATTTTAAAATAGCAACATATAGGAAAGGACCCCACGCTACCCAGGGACTGAGAGAGGTGTCGATGCCAGCTGTCCACCAAGTGCTCAATCCTCAGTCTGTGCCAGCTTTCATCAGCTACCTTATCTGTTGACACGGCAGTACAGGTCACCTAGCTCCCCTGGATGTTAAGAGGATTTTCTAGTAAAATGTTCTGCAAACCTAAGATGTGCATGCTAGGAAGAACGAGAAAGCTGAGACTTTGCCTATATACCTCCCCAAATCTGGAAGCATTTAGAGCTTCAGTGCTGTCATACATAGACTCAAACATATTACGCTCAGAAAAGAACAAAATCACTTATTAAAAATGCAGGATTGTTATGACATAAACAGCATCCTGATAGACCTCCCTATCCTTAACAGCCAAGCAGAATAGATGCAGAATACATATTCTCTTGGCATGAGAATCTTCTCGTACGTGTAGTCACACATGGGGGAGAAACGAACTGTGAAGCAGCCGAGCCCTTAGCAATCTAATATTCCACAAGAATGATCGAGGTAGACATGAATGAACTTTATTTGGGGAAGAGATTTAGAGTTCTTCTCACTGGCATTCTTCAGATTGCGGAGGAGCCTGGTTTTAAACACTGGCCTGCCTGCTCGCAAGAACAGCCCTTAAAAAGGATCCCCAAAAGCCTCTTTCGGAAGAGCATACAGGATTGGAATTTGAGTGCGTCTCTAGTGACATTGAAAACTCAAACTTTAGCCAAATTCTCAATTATGCCTCTGTTTCATCCCCTAGCATATTGAATAGTGCTGGGCGGATAGCAGGTGTTCAGTAAATAGATGTTGGCTGGCTGATTGTTAACTCGGCAGCCTAACGCCAAACATCTGAATATTGAGAAAACATCTGGATGTGCAGCTAACGTATACGGTTCTGTGCAAGGCTGAAAGAGGGAGTCCGCCTACAGCAAAATCCAACGTCTCTGTCTGAAGTTGCTGAGTTTCACACAGGGTCACTGTTTCCAGCAGAGAGAAAAATGTTTGAAACCAGACTCGCTTGCAGTCTGAAGGATGCCAAGAAGAACAATCTTAAGTGCATTTTAAGAATCTATCCCGTTAACAGCTGCCTCAGTCATTCAGTAGAAGGGTAGATTGCTAAAGATCCCATAGGCCTTGTGCCATTTCTTTACCCACATGTGACAGGGCATTTACAGTCCCATTGATAGAGGCAATTTTTGTGTCCAGAGAAAAAACAATCCACTGCAAATATTTGCTATGTCACAAGTATGATCGGTTGAACTACTTCCTCCCTAAATTCCTTACGTGAAATCCTGTAATTTATAGTAAATACAGGTTCTCCTCAGCTTAAATAAATGCTCGTGAATGTTCACACACACACACACACACACACACACACACACACACACAAAGGTTCCTCAATATTCTACCTTTTAGTGGTTATAAGCAAAACTAAACTGAGCAAAAAATAAAATTCTCTTCCTCCTGCAAGCATCCATTTCCTAATCTTTAGTTACGTTTTGCGGTGAAAAGGTAATTGATTTATAAAATATTTGTCTAAAAGGTAGGTGTATGAATGAGACTGGATCAATGGTGGATTATTATCATTCATAAAAGCATACAACTGTTTCAATTAAAGTATAAGAATGAAATAAGAAAGAAAATATAAGAAATACATTATCCAGCCTCTTTAATCATTTTAAAAGCTGCTTTGTATTATAAAACTGATGCATGGGGCTATAGCCTGTGTTTCATCTTAATAATAGCTTTTAATTATGAGATCATGAAGTATCCATATATATATTTTAAATCACCATTCTTTTGACCCAAACATTTTTTAAACTACAGTCACTGAGTTTGAAATAAATTCTACAGATGTGTAACTACATTGTTTAGCTATGATTTCAACCTAATGACACTTTTTTTAAGTCTGTAAACTCTCATTCTTCACAGACTTCCAATTTTTATTTTTCTTGACTGTTATTTGTACTTGTCTGAGACCATCTGCCATTTTTCTAGGTGATCAAACACTTCCATAAAGTGGAACGAGGCTTGTTTTATACTTCAGGGTACCCTCCTTCAAGAATGTGAGTCATTTCGTTTCATGATCAAACCCCACCCTGTTTCATAAAGTGCATCAGCCGTTCATCAGAAATACTTGATCTTGAGAGATGCCCACCATCCCATGGACCCTTTCAACATCAAAGACTCACTAAGCCCCAGCCTAGACACCACCAGCGGTTATCTAAGCGCAGACCTCTGTAATCACTGCCTTGCAGAGGAGACAGCACCTAAACCATCCAAACAGATTACCTGTCAAGTTTCTAAAGTTTTCCAGAAAGGGAGGTAACACGATTTCTCATTGCAACTTTTTCCTTCGGTCTCCTACACACACATAATGAGTGAAATGCTGTCTTGCTTTCTGTGCTTTCCTGCACACTGGCTGTCAGTTGCTGTTCGCAGAGTTCTCTCTCTCCCTGTGACAACACCCGTGTGGGGCCTTGCTCCTAAGCCACCTGCACTTTCCCTCTCGTCCTTCGAAGGGAAGCCTCCTTGCCTCCCACGCTGGCTAAAAGCCCTCCGTGTGCCCTGGACGGGGAGGAGCAAGGGGTCACTCTTTACCTTTGCAGATACCAAACTCGTCACCAAAGTCATCTTCCTCACTGTAAAACTGACACCTGAGCCCCGGGCCACACTTGGCGCCGTCCATGCCGGAGACGGTGCGGTAGCAGGTTTCGCCCAGGCCCGCGGCGCACACCCGGCAGCAGCCGCAGTCGTCCAGCACTGTCCGCTTGCAGCTCAGGCTGCTTTTGCACTGGGCGCGGTCGCATCGCTCGGGGCAGTCGACCGCGTACTTGGGGCTCCAGGTCGTCGCCAGGTGCGCGGGTACCAGGAGCGTGGCTAGCAGCAAGAGGCTCTTCATGTTTCCCGCCGGCTCTGGCTCAGCTCCCTGCGGGCGGCGTGGTTCTCTGCTGGCGGGAAGCAGCTGTCCAAAGTGGTAGCCGAGCCTCTGCCTACACGTTTATGAGCTTTATACACTGGGTTGCCCGCATGCTTCCCCGTCATCAATTTCCTCAACCCAGCAGCAGCGCTGTCCTCTTGCCAGGCTCTCTTGTTTTAGTTTATGAAATCCAGGATGAAGGCTGGATTAACACGCCGCTGCCATCCAGGAATTGAAAAGCCCAAGCTGATGTCATCTGTTATGTTTAGATGGTTGTTTTGCATGAGCACTGAAAAACTCGCTCACATCCGTCTCGAGGGCTCAAGGACGTCTGTGAAGGGGGAATAAAGAAGGTTGCATACCTTCCTTCGGGACAGGAATTGTTCTGACACCGGCATATCACTTGGGCTGTGGCTTTGTCTCAGAGCCTCTGGAGTCAGGAGGAAAATGACATCGACGTGAATCATCAGGACGAAAGAAGCTCCTTTAAACAAAATAAATAAACATTTGGTATTTCCCCTCCGTAAACAGTTATGAGCTCACTTGGGAGAAGAAAGGGTTATATTGTGCCTTTTCAATACTTAGAAGAAAGGAAATATTTGGAAAGGGATTTTTTAAAGACCCCTCTCTTCCTTCCTCCCTCCCTTTCCCCCAAATGTTATCTCTAAAACAATTCATGGCACATATATCTAAGTTTATCATGGATGGAGCTGCATTGCTAGTAAGATGTGGAACTGCAGCTGAGAATTTTCTTTCAAAGTAATACGAAACCCACAAAAGAGGTACGATGCTGCTGGCGCTGTTTCTGGGTTCCTCAGTTCTGGAAAAACTTATCAGTTGGACTTCTGACCCAGAACTCCCTGGGGAGAGGGCTCATCCATCACCGAGTCTGGCTGTCCAATGACTGAGGCCATTCGGAGCTCTATCCCCTCACTCCTGGCATCTCTCAGAGCCCTCACTAAAAACCACCAAACAAGGCAGTCAGCCCAAGGAAACAAGCGAGCCAGCAGGGAAATCGGAACGTGGCCCAGAGAGGCAAGTCCCGGGGAAGGGAAAACATTACCCCTCAGGAAACAGGGTCTTCAAGCAATGGAGGGTCACAGGGCCTAGGTCCCCCTGGGGAAGACAAAGCCGTCCTCTCACACTATCGGCAGGACCAGGGCCTCGTGAAGGAAGGGGGCTGGGCCAGAAAGAGCAAGGTGAGCGGAGAGAGCAGAGTTCTTATATCAGCCACACGTCGGGTCCCCAGCCCCACCCCCGACTTGTCAAAATAGGCACAAACCCGCCGTCATTCTAGCAACTACTCAACCAGTAAAGTTGATGGATGACTCTTGGTCTGTCCCCAATTAGCTATGGGCGAGCCCCAGGATCTCTCTCAGCCTCAGCCTCCTCTTTTGAGAGTCGACAGTGTTCGTTAAGCTAGTTGGTCTCCAGAATTCTTATCCCCATTAGAAGATGAGGCTGAGGCCATTGGATGTGACTTGCTGAGTAGCCTTCCAAAGCGCACTTCTAGGAAGGTGGAAGGAACCGAATCTGGAATGCGTCACGGAACCGAGGGGGTAGAAAACCAAGCAAGAGTCCCAGCTTCCAATTTCCAAATTTCCCATGCGATCCAATTTGACACATTCTATCGGCATCTCCCCAGAAGCAAACACACGCTTATCAGACGCACAATCTGATTTATTGTTTTCAGCGGTGGGTAACATCCACTGAGGGCCCAGTGTATGCCGATCACCTGTTCTGAAACCGTTTACACGTATTAACTGACTTGCTCTTCACCACACCCTCATCAAGTAGATACAATCCTCGTGCCCTTTTCCTGAATGGGGAAATGGAGTCAGAATGAGGTTAAATAATTTGCTCAGGTCCCCCTAATGTCCAAGGTAGAACCCGAACGGAGTCAGTCTAGTGTCGAAGGCATGCGCTCGGTTGCCTGTTAAGCACAGTGGTGCTTCTGTGACTACTGTTCTGATGGCCTCCTTCACAACTTAGGGCTGACCTTGGAAAAGGTTACTGAACACCACTTTCTGAGCAGAGTGGTTAACTGCAATAACGGTTGACGATGGCATCTATTAGAGAAAACTTACCATGTGTCAGACACCGTGTAGAGCGCTGTATATGGAGTGCCACGTTGAATTTTCAAAGCAGCCTCAAGAGGTAGGGACTATTCTTATCCCCACTTCAGAGGTGAGAAAACTGAGGCCTTGAGGGGTTACGTAACTTGTCCAGGGGCACAAAGTTAGCAAACGGTGAAGCCAGGACTCGAACCCTGAAACAGACTGTTTCTAGAGACTGGACTAAGGACTGCAAAATCGAACACATACAGGTACCAATCCAGTGACCTAAGTGGGTAAAGTGGTAAGATATGCCAGATGTACGTGAGAGGGAGGGGAGCTGCTCACCTGAGAGGGCATGCCCCCACTAAGGGAAGCAGTGCCTCCCCAAGAATGGCTGACTGCTTCCATGCTGGACTCTGAGCCCACTGGGCCGAATCTTCTATTTTTTTTTTTTTTTTTTAAGAGAAGCTGGAATCTAGACTTTTAAATGTAATGCCCTAATTTTTAAATGTCGGCCACTATTTCATTCAAATTACGAAACATTATATGCACCCTTCTTTCTTTTTTTTTTTTTCAAAGTTTTATTTATTTATTTATTTTTGTTTTTTTGAGAGAGGGAGCACATGAGCAGGGAGAGGCAGAAAGAGAGAGAGAGAGAATCCCAGGCAGGCTCTGGGCTGTCAGCAAGGAGCCCGACGTGGGGCTTGATACCACGAATTGTGAGATCATGACCTGAGCTGAAATCAAGAGTTGGATGCTTAACAGACTGAGCCACCCAGGTACCCCTGCACCCTTATTTCTTATGGGCAGGACCCAGCCTGCCTATCACTTTGGTCTTGCTATAAAGTTTCGATTCTGCCAGTGCTGGATTTGAATCTTTGCTCTGCCACGCACTACCTAAAAAGCTCAGAAACTGAGTTTAACATCTCTAAGCCTCCGTTTTGTCATTGTGTACAGTGGGACCACCAGCTTCTTCACAGGGCTATTGTTAGGACCTATAAAACGGGATGGAAAATGTCTATCAAGTAGCACACATTCACTAAGTGATGGCTATTTTTCATTTTAAAAATATAATCATCATAGAGTTGGCAGTGAATAAAGAAAAATAGTCAAAGCATAAGAACTTCCTGGTCTTCTATGGAAATTTAAGGAAGAAACAATAGAAGCCTTGCAGAGGTCAATATCACAAGTGCTGAGGGAAGAAGAGGAGCTCATGGAACCATGTTCTGCATTTCCAAAAACTGATAACACTTTCAGTGAAGGACAAGTAAACAGAGAGAAGATGTCAAGTTGAGAGTCCCAAATCCACCATAATAGTGAGCCTAAATGCATACCCAAAAGGGTGGAGAAAATACGCTCAGCAGAGTTCGTAAGCAGTGGAACTATCTCCACACGTAGTTTCTAACATCTCATTCTTGGGGAACGTTCCATTCCTTCCAAGACCCGACAAAAACTGTTTGTCCCAGCACAATCCCTATGGGATTTACATCTCATTGTATTTCTGGTCTTTCCCAACCAGGAACCCAGATCAACCACTCTTCTGAGGGAAGTTACCAATGGCCACACAGGGTTAGGAAATTGGAGCATGAGTAAACAAACAACAACAACAAAAAAATGGCAACTTTAATCTGCAACAAAACAAATTAAGGTGAAGGCAACGCATTTTCTGATGAGGGCACGAGGCCCACCTGGGTTGGCTTGCCGTGTGCTGGGGTTGTCAAGTCTCTAACCTTGCTCTGCCCTGCATCAGATTTCAGACCAAAGAGTGAGAAAGGTCAAAATCACATAAGCTTTCTACAACTGTGAAAAGGCAAGTTCATGTTATAGTGGGTCAAACCATACCATCTTGGGATTCAAAGCCTGTGGCCTTCTGCAATGGCGGCCAGAGAAACAATAAAACTGAGTATTCAACCCAGTACACCTTGCTCATTAAAAACCCCATCATGATTTTGTCCTTTAAATTTGGCATTATTCCAAGAAGGAAAATAAGCCTAGGTAATGTGCTCTGGCAATTTGTGTTTAATCCTGCACATTCTGATTGCTTGTAACCAAATACCCAGCATTTTTTTTTTTTTTTTTTCTGAATAGGCAAAGTGGGAAAGGCTCTGAAAGGATTCCAAACCCTCATGGTCAAGTCAAATTGTCCCATGTTTACTGTGCCTTCCTCACAAACCTCTTTACCAGATAGGTTTATTTTTATTTAATCTTTTTTTTTTTTTAAGTAATCTCTATGTCCAACGTGGGGCTCAAACCCACGACCCTGAGATGAAGTGTTGCATGCTCTACTGACCGAGCCAACCAGGCACCCCCAGATAGGCTTAATTCAATTATAAAGGCAGACCTGAAGGCAAAATGTTCCAAGGGGCAAGTGGAGAAACTTAGGTGGATGAGACTTTGTTTTTAGTTTAGTTTGGGGTTTTGGTACCTTCTGAAAGTCTTTCTGCTTTGAACCAGCTGATGGCAATTTGCATGTGCCTACGCAAGGTACAGCACGTAACTAGAGCTCAGTACTTAGTAAACATGTACATGTGACCAGTTGTTTCCCAAAATCATTTTCAGAGAGTAGTAAGTTAAAATGTGCACCCATGTTTCCCAGGGGAAGCAAAGTGAAACCCGCATTCTTGAACAGGCTGAACTGAATTATAGAACCGGGTGCGTCTTTGGGGGAATGAGATAGAGGTTTCCAGGGATAGCGGAAGCAGCTGGGGATGGAACGGGGTCTGAGCAGAGTCCTGTTGTGTCAGCTCCTGCACAGCTGACCAACTTCTGTCCTCTTGGCTTTCCAGCCTTGGGTCTGGTAGCCCCGCATCCATCCCGAGACGTTCCTGGGAGCTCCTCTATTGTTGATAGAACCTGGTGAACCCATCTGCCAAACTGAGTTTCACGGCAGTCATGGGTCAGCTGTCACAGGCTCTGGGGACTCCTCCCAGAGCCTCCTGCGCTGGGAACAGCTTGCAGGAATTGTAGCTTGGCCACTACAAGCTATGTCATCTTAGGCGAGTCACATGATGCACACCTTAGACCACCCCCCTCATCCCTCCTGTCTACCTCAGTAATTAGGTAAGAAGACCCAAAGGTATATCCTGGCTATGACTATCAAGAATCCAAAATTCTAAAGGTTTCATTCTTTAAAAATGATCTTATGTCTTGGAGCAAATGTTTTCCCCAAGGAAATACCATCTCTTCAGTTCTCCAAGTTTTCATTTCTAATAAAGACAATTTTAACAGTAAAGGGGGATTGGATGTTACAGGCAATTTTTGAAAACTACACCTGCTCGGGGGCTCCTGGCTGACTCAGTCGGTAGAACATGCGACTCTTGATCTCAGAGTCCTGAGTTCAAGCCCCACGTTGGGCATGGAGTCTACTTAAAACAAAACAAAACAAAAAACTACACCTGCTTTGAAAAGTAAAGTGACGTGCACCTGTTCTTGCCTGCATGGGGTCCTCTGATGTATCTTAGGGAGGAGATGAATTCTCTGGGCAGCTGGGAGGCAGTCGCAGTTGCTTACAGCAAACAGTCCTGCAAGAATAATGAGTGTGGGGGAGTTTGAGAAGATACAAACAAGATACCCACAATGCCTACTGCAAACGTCAACCCTGGATGTCCGGGTGCCCTTCAGAGAGCTTTGCCGCCATATCCAGGGCTCTGCATCCCGTGGAGTTCCCCGAGGAAGCAGGCGGAAACTGGTTGTCTTTTAACCTTGACCAAATCTAGAAACCTCACCTTTGCATTCACACTTCCAGGAGGTTTTTGAGAGTGAGAAAGTTTAGACTTGGGAACATGGGAGGAGCTCTCACTACTTATCTGCCCTCTACTCTATCCCCCCATTCCCCCGATTCTGGTGGGCATGTTTTTCTAACAGCTAGCTCTCCTGGCTCTCACCCTGGCTATGACTATCAAGAATCCAAAATTCTAAAGGTTTGTTTCATGCTTTAAAAATGATCTTATGTCTTGGAGCAAATGTTTTCCCCAAAGAAATACCATCTCAAATCAAGGTTCTGAATCTATGAACTCATCTGCAAGAGACTCCAGTCATATAGTGTCCTTCCCTCTCCACACATAAAGCCACACCCAGAAGTACCAGGTGCTGTCCTGATACAAGACCACAGGCAGCATGAGTGGCAAAAGTAGCTCCCACCTTGGAACCAGAAGACCCAAGTGTGAGTCTGAGTTCCACTGTCAGTCCTGTATGAGACACCAACCAGCCTTCCTGAGTCACGCAAAGTCATTTGTTTCAGCAAAATCTAAAAGATGGAAATCCTGCCCGCTCTCTCAAAGAGACAATGGGATCTCTCAAAGAGATCAGAGGGTGAGATAGATGGGGAAACAGGCTGTCCACTCTAAACAAGTATAAAACAGTAGGACTTATTCTAAAAGACAAATTACATACCACGAAAGAAAATGAGCCTGTGGTGATCTCTCTCAGGCCTCACCCTTTCCTCCATTCCCCTCACCTTCTGCAAGATGGCATAATTTTTCATTCACGTAATTCACAGAACGACCGCTGAGCGTCTGCGTTCCCTGTTGGAAGACTTCACCTCCTCTCCCTGCAGCCTTCCTCGCCCCATCCTGGTATGGGGCGACTAGACAGCTCACAAATTGTGGGCCAAAAGAGGCTTTTTTTTTGTTTTGTTCTGTTTTTTGTTTTTGTTTTTTAATTACCAGTTTCCTAAATGGCTAAAGAATTAGCTCAGGCGTTGGAAGTCATTTAGACATTAGAACTATTGACATAAGAGAACATAGGTTGAAAAAGTCATGTTAGAAGTTAGTGCTAAGACGTTTGGAATTTTCACCAGGAATTTTGGAAGGACGGGGATTTCTGATTAACACACGAATCATAGGAAATGATTCTGCTCCTTTGCTTCTCTAATAACATGGCACTTCCTTGGCCTAACCTTAAGCTGACCTCTTTTATAATGTAATAAAATATTAATCAGGACCACCCTCATCAGACTCACTGGAATTTGTCTGGTGATGAAGAGCCTTAGCCTTTACATGATATACGGGTTGAATAAATAATTGAGTGATTTTTTTTTAAAAGTTCAAGGTAAGCACCAGAAGATAAATAAGAAGTGTAACTTCCAAGCCCCTTATTTAGAATTTTTTAAACGAATTGGCAGTTTCAGACTCACTTTCTAATCTGGTGTTGAAATATCTTGGCTCTTTTCTTCCTGGAATCCTCCCAGTGAAGGGCCATGTTGTGACCTTCTTCTTCTCCTCCCTCTCCCTCTCCCTCTCTTTCTCCCCCTCTCTCTCCCTCCTCTTCCTCCTTCTTCTTTTCTCTTTCTTCTTCTTCTTCTTCTTCTTCTTCTTCTTCTTCTTCTTCTTCCTTTCCTTTCCTTCTCCTTCTTCTTAGCATCTTACTTTCTTTTGACTGACACAGACTTCATGAAGCCTCCAAGCCTACAACCTGAGAGCTTAATGCACATGGACGGTGCCTCAGACAGGGCTTGGGGCCGGGTGCATCAAAGTGCAGTTGCCCAGACCATGTGCATCAGAGTGTCCTGATGTCAAAATGGCACAGCCAGATATTCCAGTTGGATGGGTCAGGGGTGGACTTAGGAATCAACATTTTTTTTTTTTTAACATTTATTTATTTTTGAGAGACAGAGAGAGGCAGAGCATGAACAGGGGAGTGGGAGAGAGAGAGAGATACAGAATCTGAAGCAGGCTCCAGGCTCTGAACTGTTTGTTAGCACAGAGCCTGGTGCGGGGCTCAAACCCACAAACTGCGAGACCATGACCTGAGCTGAAGTCAGATGTCCAACCGACTGGGCCACCTAGGTGCCCCAGGAATCAACATTTTTTTTTAATTTTTTTTAATGTTTATTTATTTTTGAGACAGAGAGAGACAAAGCATGAATGGGGGAGGGTCAGAGAGAGAGGGAGACACAGAATCTGAAACAAGCTCCAGGCTCTGAGCTGTCAGCACAGAGTCTGATGCGGGGCTCAAACTCACGGACCGCAAGATCATGACCTGAGCCGAAGTCGGCCGCTTAACCGACTGAGCCACCCAGGCGCCCCAGGAATCACCATTTTTAACAAGACACTCGATTCTGACAAACTTAAAAATTTCAGAAACCTCTAGACCAATGGTTTCTCCCAGGCACATGTCAGCAGAATTAGTACTTAATCCTTGGTCTGGAGATCTCTGATAGACAAAGCCTGTCTCTGAGGGGTTGACCTAGAATTTTTTAACTATATAATACGCTTACAAAATTTTTAGCATATTTTTCTCATTCCGAGACACACATTTTCTTTCACATGTTAACATCACTGAAGTTGGAATTCTGCCATTATGATGTAAGTCATTGCCTACGTGTACACATCAAAACTTGGAAGACATGTGCCAGTTACTTGGAAGAGAACCTCAGACAGTAGCAGGGTTGGCTTCTAAGTCATGCTGCATTACTGATGATCTTAATGGCCCAGAGCCTATACTCTCTGAAAAAGACGTGATACTGACGTGTGATTCAGAAGGACCAGACACGAATTTAGAGTCATTTGGAAATATTTTAACCACTTTATTGAATTTATATTTTTCTTCCTATGAATGTTCAAAAGTTCTAAATGATGGAAATCTATACCCAAATAACCCCCCACGAGTGCTTTCAATAAATACAAACACTATTTGTAAAGCACAAATTACAAATTCCCAAGATATAAAAGCATTATGTAAGAGTTTCATGGGAAGAATATTTTTCCCTTAATGACATACAAAAAAATAATGGCCTTCTTATACCGACCGATAACGTCTTAGATTCAGTGAGATATAGTAGTTTCCAAATAAATAGGCCTGCTTTTACTTTTGTTGACTCACCGCCAACAGTTTGCTTAGCAAATGTTGTTACCAAACTTTAATCCACTACAACTTTGCGTGATGGAACTGAACACCTAACTCTCACAAGCTGCCTGACATTGATCAGACTAGAGGTATTTTAGGGTGAAATACATGTGCTGTACATATACATATATGTGTGTACACATATGTACATATCTACATGTTTGTATATATGTGTGCCCACATATGAGATCCATGTACCCAAGTTTAATATCCTACTTTCAGTTCCAAAGTGCACAAATACACCCAGCTCACATTTCTAATGGTGGATTGTGAGCCTGTTGCACACATTACCACTTTAGACAACATGCTGAGCCTGGCTCCTTTGTAAATATACCTAGGAAGTACTCACTGAATAAAACACCAAACAATGTCTCCGTGAATGAAAGGAATCCAACGTACTTTCAGCTTTCTGTACTCTTTCAAAGTGTTCTCAGGATGGCAAATCAAAATTTTAACCTATATGTGGTCTAGTCAACAAAGCTGGTTTATAAGGGATCAGCACATATTATAATGGATAAGTTGATGAGCACTGACCCATGCTAATTTTTCAGTATTAATGCCTTCATTTCATGAACTTAAAATTATGGAACTTCAAATAAGGCCATAAATGATCACCTTTCAAGCATCCCATACCCAGACAAGAGCCTATATTGAAAACAAGAAATTGTAGGGTATCTGATCCTCCCAGGGACTAGCTGATGGGCACTTTTGAAGGGACCTTCGAGGAAACCAGTTAGTAAAGCTGTTTGAAAAGGGGACAACGTGTGTGGCACGCTTGCCATGATAACCTCTTCCTAACTGGCTAACACACACACACACACACACACACACACACACAACCCACATAAGCAACAGTAGCAACAAGAAAAACGGTGAGGCACCCACCCTGTTGAACAATCTTACATGGTGAGTCTTCAATACCATGTACTTGCAGTTGGAAAGCTACACAAACGCTCTGCAGAAAGACATGCTTCTCTTTCTAGGGGGAAGGTACATCATCAGAGCACTTGACATTCAATTAGAAGAGTCCAAGTCTTCGAAATGCGAAGTAATGCTTTCCTCCACATATAGTCCCACTGCCAGGGCAATTAGCATGAACAGGCAATCAAAGACCGGTAGTATCTGAAAGGAGGAGGAGTGGGTGGAAGCAATAAACGTGGCACCAGAAAGCTTCTTAGGCCCTAAATACACCAGAGCTCTGAGCTTAGATCCAGAAAAAGTCTGGCTGAAGAAGTGGTTCAGGTTAAGTTGCTTACTCACCTACTAAGGAAACCAGAGTTAGGAAACACTTAATACCTCTGAATTTTATTATTTATTTTTTAAGTAAATACATTTTTTAAACTTTTTAGTTTTAAAAAATCTTGCCCTGTAATAGACATACAACATTAGTATTTATAGGTTAATAAGTGACTAAATGTTCTCTTCATCGGAAACAAAAATGACCAGGTTGTAGGCCAATGGGTCCGCAGTCAATGACCAATATGACCTAGGCTGGCCCCTCTATCCACCCGCTTAACTTCCTTTCTCCATCCATCAAAATACTTTTTCCCTCGAGGCTGAGATGCCAGGGGCTGTGTGCTGCCCTTGCCGATCTCCTCCCCGATCGCTCACCCACCTTGGCATCTCCACACTTCTAGCCCTGCCCTTTACATCCAGGGGGCCACCCAGTTCCTGT